CTCCGTTTCTCAGAGCTCACAGTCTTTAAGGGGAATCCATGTCGTGGTCAGCAGTGAGACAAAAGGATGGGAAAATAGAAAGTCAGAAGGATGAAGGCTAAGAAAGTGCCTAAGAATGGAGGAGGCGTACAGAGGCAGGCAGAGGATGGGAGTGGTCGGCGAGGCTTCAGCCAGGCGTAACGCAGTTCCCCCGTCTGGCGCTAGATGTCCCTGCAAGTTCTCGCGTTGCATCTGAGGGCAGAGGAGCTGGAGGCTGGCGACTGGTCTGAATAGCTCGGTCCAGGAAGAAAGTACCTATGCAATTCCTCACCTGTAACGGTCCCCGAGTGGCGCGGGATCGCAGGGAGAGAGGGAGAAGGACAGAGAAAGCAGCACCCTGCCAGACTCAGGCAGACAGAGCTAGAGGCTTGCCTGCCAAGGACAGGAGCAGTGGAAGTCAGGCCTGGATCATCAAGCCCTCATATTCCCTTATAAACCGAAACCTGCAGCCCTGAGGATTGCACTTGGTCTACAGAAAGTGTGCCCAGGATCCGCAGCGCAAGCTCTGGCTGTTCTGCTGTCCCACTCGCACGCCGCAGTTCCGTGCTGGGGCAATTGCGTCTCGACGCCGATCTGCGATGGAGGAGGCCCTGGCTGCCCGGAGCCAGGCAGCTGCCAGGAAGAGGAGAGCCAGGCCCGGCCGCCCGCAGGGCTCCTCTGTTACCAGCGCACCTCCGCTGGGGCATCTGAGACAGATTATTACCTTCAGTCTCAGGCCAAAAACGTTTATCACTGCATCTCTGAGGACCTACTGCTGAACTAGAAACAAGTATTTAGTTTGAAGGCTGAACACAAAAATTAGGTTTCACTCACGTCATTCTTACTTTAGGGGGGGGAAAAGTGCTTTTCAGACCAGATGGATCAAGTTCTTCCTTCGCTGTACCTTACAGCCCATCTTCAAAAATCCCTGCTCAGGCCAAAAACGTTTATCACTGCATCTCTGAGGACCTACTGCTGAACTAGAAACAAGTATTTAGTTTGAAGGCTGAACACAAAAATTAGGTTTCACTCACGTCATTCACACTTTAGGGGGGGGAAAAGTGCTTTTCAGACCAGATGGATCAAGTTCTTCCTTCGCTGTACCTTACAGCCCATCTTCAAAAATCCCTGCCAAGCTACAGGAGCTTAGATTGGTTTGAATTCTTGTTTTTTTTTTTTGTTTGTTTGTTTCTTTGTTTTGTACTGGGGATTGAACTCGGGTCCTTCCCCTTGCAAGGCAGGCCACTGAACTGCAGAGCTAAATCCCCAGCCCTGGATTCTTGTTTTATTGAGTGTGTCCTGCACCTTGGTAGTGGGTAGGAGGACGAAAGTCATCAGAGACTTCGTCTAAAAACCCAGGGCCTCTGATGAGCCGGTTCCCAGCCTCGGCCTCTACATTTTGGGTGAAGTGGGAGTTCCAGGTATTTCATCCACAAACATTAACATTACTGGGTTCATCTCTCTACCTTCTCCACAGGCTCCATGTTTTCCAGTAGGCCTGAATTTAAATATGACAGGCACCACGAGAAAAACAGGAAATACTACCCCAAAACTTTGAACTACATCGTGACATGTATATCATTGAAAATGAGTTTAAAATCGTGGACAAGTCGCTGAACTCCTCTGTGTCAAAGGTTTTTCATTCTTGAAAAGAGGGGGAATATAATTTCATAGTTACTGTGAAGTTTAGAAGAGATAATACATGTAAAAAGTAACTACATAGTATGTACATTATATAAAGAGTCAATATTACTACTGGCAGTGGTTGTGGAATGTAAATTACGGGTCATTAAGTATTTTTTTTTCTTTTTTTCCACCAGGGATCAAACTCAGGACCTTGCACTTGCCAGGCAGGAGTGGCACTACTGAGCTCCATCCCTGGCTAAGGGTCATTAAATATTGAAATGGAATGTTTGCTGTGCTTCGTGAAACATTTATTATTATTATTATTATTATTATTATTATTATTTGTTTTTTGACACAGGATCTCACTATGAAGTTCAAGTTGACCTTGAACTCACTACATAGCCGAGGCTGGCCTTGAACTCTTGGTGATCCTCTTGCCTCAGCCTTTGGAGTGCTGGGATTATAGGTGTGAGCCACTACACCCGGCTTCATGAAATATTGTCAAACGCAGTTTAGAGAAAGATTACAGTTCTCTATTATTTTGAATAGTTTCCCTGACATGGTCTCGAATCCACTTTTCCTAAAAAATGCTAGAGATGAATATTAGTGATCTTCAAAAGGTGTAAAATAATTCCCAAAACCGCTAATGAATGAAGGTGACGCCGAAAAATGGTGTCCCCCCTTTTCAAGAAGCTGAGGTCGAGTTCGGCGCAGTCTTTGGAACCAGAGGCGCTGGGTTGCTGAGGAAAGGGAAGATGTGGGAGTCCCGCGGGCAGGGACACTGAGGACGAAACCACGGTCCGCTCCTCCAACCCCAGCGGCGGCTTCTGCGATTGAAAAGCTGCTCACAGCCTCCGAAACCGCGAGGAAAACAGATGGGGGCGCCAAACGACAGCAATAAAGGCACCCGCGGATTTCCGCCCAGGCAGCGCCCTCACGCGCCCCCACCGCCACCAGGGCCTCGGCTCGACCAAAGTGCCCCAGTTAGTCCCCAGGGCGAGGCCGGCCCGGCTAGGGGGAATGACCCACCCCGGGTCACTGGGACGGCGACTGCGGAGACCGGTGGAGGCGGGTGTGCAACTTAGGAGCAGGTGGAGCGTCTGCAGCGCTGCGCTCCAGCCGCTCGAATGGCCCGGAAGCCCGCGGCAGGACAGCTCGGAGGGCTCGGGGCTGGGCGCCTACCGGGATAGGGGTCAAGGTGGACTCCAGGCCACGTCCTCGTCGGAATCCTGGACGCCCACTCTGGGTTCCCAGCCTCCTCTCCCCGCCTCCTGACGCTAAACACCGCGTGCCTATTGAACTTTGCGTTTATTACCTTAAAGAGGTGGAATTGATTTTCTAAGCAAACCTTGAGCTGCCGAAGTAAGTTGGCGCCAAGGGGAACAGGAGAGAAACTTCTGGCGTTGACTATACGTGTGTGTATATGTGTATAAATGTACCTCACACCTCGCCTCCCCTTACATTCCTGAAGCGCCCCCAGCGGGTCCAAGGTTAAAAGGAAAGCGCCAATAGACGGATGGGCAAATCGATCCTGGGTTCGCCCCTAACACACCCCGATGTGCTGGGTGTGTCGGAGGGAGGGAGGAGGAGGCCCGGGCTGGGGTCGGAGTTGGCGCTGGTTGCGGGATGCAGGACCCGCGTCCAGATTGCCAGAGTCTCCCGCCCTTCTCGGAAGCTCAAGGGCTGGACCCTCTGTGTCCTGTCCCTGTCCTCGCCGGGCCTCGCCTTGTCGGCGAATCTCTCCCGCTCGCGCGCCTGGCGGGCGGACCCTGCGCGGCTAAAGTCGGGGAAGGGTGGGGCGCAAGCGCGGGAGGAGATGAGGAGCGGCCTTCGGCGAAGATTGATCTTCGTTAAAATGGTTGCCACCGGCGTCATTATGACCATCAAAGTTATCGCCAAGAGGCTCAGCCGCCAACCTCAGGCCGCAAGGAACTGCAGCAGGGTTGGTCCGCGACTCTCCGCTCCGGGACTGAGCGCCTCGCACACCCGGGGCCACAGGTAAGGGGCCGCGGGGCCGGAGGGGAGGCAGGAGAGGGGCCCCAGAAGAGCCGGGCGGGGCAGGGAGGGCAGAGACAGGGTAGGGGGAGAAGGCTGAGGCTCCTCTTTCCCCTCTGACCTCAAAATCTGGCTACTTTTCCACAAATGCTTCTATTAGAGGAGGAAGGGGGAAAGGTGTCAACGTAAAAAGTGGATTCAGAGCAGTCTGTATGGCGTTATAAAGTTAGCTACTGAATTCTGCTATCAAATCGTCCAGTCTAGTTCATTCCCTAGGGAAAATGCGTAGGCGAGAAGGCTATCCATCAGCAGGATTATAAAACTAAAACAAAAAAACAAAAAAACGGGGACTTGAAGTTCTGAACGCACTCTGCAAACAGTGTTAGAAAATCAGAGAGGACCTAATGATTTCCGTGTGGAGGCGCGGGCCGCGCGTATCTCTCTGCCACGTAGCAAAAAAGCGTTTTCAAAACTCTGCAAGATACATCCCCCCACCCGCCCCCGTGGTGGGAGGAGAGCATCCAGGCTGAGATGAAGTAGAGGGGGAGAGAACTCAGCGTCCTATTTGTTAAATAAAATACATATTTGGTTCTGAAAGCAGAAAGATAAGTAATCCAGACAGGAGCAGCATAAGGTCTTCTCCTTACGCAACTCTTCCTACATCCTCCCCTCCCCCCTTACGCCCCCAGCTTGTAAATGTTTAAAAAAAAAAAAAAAACCTTCCCGAGGATCTACTCTGGAAAATCAAAGCATTATCTATTATTTAACACGTATCTGTGTCCATGGAAAAATGAGGAAAGAGCTGCATGATTAGGACCTAAGGGGCAACCCAGCAAACTGAGAGCGTAATGATGCCCCTAAATGAAGGGGGAAATGTGCCGCGGAGCGCTCTATTAATCAGACTGTCAATTTCACCCCCGAGGCCAAACCCCCGGGCGAGCAGAGCTGGCTCGGAGCGGGCAAAGGACCGGAGCCTTCTTCCTCACTTCTTGTCTCTTCTCATCTCCTACCTGGATCTATTTGTCTGCTCTGAAGTCGCCTTCATTACCCACTGACAGGAGCGTGTATTTATTTGCTTATAAACCTGTTACAATAAATGATTATTCGAACGGCGTCATTCGTACCTTAATGACGAGCGGGCGCTACTTTTTGATGAATGACATCTCAGGCTCGGAAGGATGTATGGGTCATTTTGACCAGTCATTCCCTCGCTCTGGCATCCCACAATTTTTCCGCCTCCGTCCAAAAGAGATAATAATATTTAGAGGCGCTTGCTGGGACTGAATGAGAATTAGCCCTAGGCACAGCCCATCATTAGGACGGGACAGCCAGGCCACTGTGACATTTTTTAGAAAGCTGAGATGATGGAAAGAATAAGAAAAGAGATGATTCTGATGGAGAGAGGGCTGCATAGCCCTACGGCTGGCAAGAGGTTCTCCAATTTGTCTGACTCCGCTGGCAGTGCTGTGCTCGAGGCCCTGGAAAATTCGCAGCACCCGGCTCGCCTCAGCCCGCGCCTATCGTCCGCCCCCCTGCACGGAGCTCTGGGAGACCTCCCAGCCAAGGGCAAATTCGAAATAGATACTTTGTTCAACCTGCAGCACCCGGGCAGCGAAAGCACCGTCTCCTCCGAAATCACCTCAGCCACCGAGAGCCGCAATCTGCGCTCCCCCGGCGGCCTGGGCGCCGCGCCGCTCAAGGAAAACAATGGCAAAGGTAACCTCGCGCGCAGTCCCATCCTTCTCCTCCTCCGCGGCCCACACCCTCCCGTCCTTCCCCGTGCGTTTGCCCCCCTCTGCCCCTCCGCCAGCAAGCTGCACCGAGCTGGCTCTGGCGGAGAAGAAACGCAGGCAAGGGACGGTGCTCTCCGGCCCTGCTCCTGTGAGCCCTCCAGCCCTCCAGCGCAAAAGGCCTTCGGATCCTGGGGCGCCAGGCCCGCGCGCCCTGGCTCCCGAGCCCCAGAAAATGTCTCTGCGTGCCGGTTTAGGAGCTGGAGAGCGCAGGCAGACTCCTAGCAGGCGGCCGAGTCTCTCTCACGGGCCGGCGCCCTGGGCAACTACTCTGAACTCCTTGCCTCGGGCCCTTCAGGGCCGGGTGGAGGGGTGTCCTTCTGGGTAAGTCGGAGAGCTTGGCCGGGCGCCTCCGCGAGACTTAGGCCAGCCTAGAGAGAGTTGAAAAGTAGATTCCACCCCCTCCATGGCTCAGGTTTGAGCTGCCGAAGTCTTGCAAATTTTAAAATATTTTAAAGTAAATTCAAAAGACTGTCAGATAAAGGTTCGAGGCCGTACAAAAAGCTGCCCCTGAGAGTCAACAGACAAAACCACACCTTAAACTGTTCCCCGAGGTAGGCGTTTTCCCTCCGCCAATTTTGCTTCCCAGTGGAAATTTTCTAATTGTTAAAAAACTCCCTAATTCCGTTCCTATTATTTGATTATGAAGGCCTCCCCAAACTTTATTGATTTCATTAAAGGCAGCAATTTGTAAGCATGACAGACCCCCATCAATCCCGACAGCTACGGCGCTTCCTGACGCGATTTCCCCAGTCTACGAGCAGCGCCGGCCCCGGGGCTCCCCGCCCCGACTGCGACTCATGCGCTCTCGGCTGTTTGTTTGCCAGGGTACGCGGAGAGCGGCTCTGCGGCCGGCACCACGACGTCAGCGTCGAGCTCG